GGTTCCCGGGTGGGCGGGGCGGAGGGGGTTGCGTTGGGCCGGGCGGGGGAGGGGCCGCGGCGGCGCAGGGCAGCGGGACGTTAGGGCAGGCCAGGGGGCAGTGGCGCGCGCGCGCCAGCCGTGCGGCGAGGGCGGCGGCGGCGGCGGCGCAGAGTGACAGCTGGGGAAATGCAACGCAAAGGACTCACCCCGACGGCCTCCTGGGCCTGGGCCACTGCGAAGGGCCAGCAACGAACGGGAGTGAGGGTGACACCAATGGCCTCCGGTTCACGCTGCGGTACGACCACAGCAGGCGCAAAACGCAGTCAATGGCTCACACAGCACTTTCGTGGGCCCGCTCACCGCCAAGGGCCAGTGCCAGCGCGACAAGGACGAGAGCAGCGCGAGCCATGGTGACTGTGTGGCTGGTGAGTGTGGGGCAGGCGATTTATGCACAAGCTACGACAAATGACTTGGGGAAGGCATGCAAAAGAACGGCATCCGGAGAACTCCGCAACTGCTCAGGTCACTCCTCGCGGTGATTCCTTAGCCGAGGGCACAGAGCCCTCCCGCTGTCCATGCATGCGTTAAGGGTTCTTTAAAAACACACAGCTGTGGCTCTTGCACTGTGTGAGGCGTGATCCGGGATGTTTGGGCCGGCAGCCCGCCGGGACCGCACGCGTGCAGCAGCACCGACCCAAGGACCATATCGGTTACCGATGAGTGTTCGAAGCAGCTGCACGCTCGAGGCTGTCAAACTTGTGTGCATCTCTGAACTTCTACAAAGCCAGCCGTCGCACACATCCGTTTCAACGTGGATGCTGCGCATCTGCAGCGCTCTCACATGGGCTCATAGCGTCGACAGGGGCTGCAGGGGTGATCTTCCGCCCCGTTGACGAGCTGCGACCGGCGGCTGCCCCCCAGCCCCTGCGTCCCAAGCCCTGCAACAGGGAAGCAGGACGAGGTTTGACAAGCTCCATGTGCAGATTGTGAAGGCAGCCGGTTCTCGGGGACAGCATGGCAAAATCGAGCGCCTTGCTTGTTGGGTTGACCTTGCATGCAAGCGTCAAAATCAGCGTTTGGGCCGTCCTTGCGGACATGAAAGTTTGACTTGGCACCTGCTGCACTTGTGCCGGCGGATGAGCACAGCCGGCTGCGCGCTGTGCTTGCGTGCTGAGACCAGAGTTCTCGCCAACCTGATCAGATCAGAGTGACGTTTATACAAATGCTCCGCAGGGCCCCTGGCCTGCTGCAGCAAAGCAGGAACCCCCGGCCTCTCATGCCTTCCAAACTCGCCCAACCCATCCCCACCGCTCCGCCAAAGTGGTGGGTCTACTGGTTTTGGCTCGCGCAGCAAGCCCTGGCGCAGGCCAGAGCCAGGCGGGGTTCTCAAGCCATGGATTACTCCTCGAATGATACACACGGGATAAAAAGTGCCGCTAAGCCCCTTTTGCAGCCCGTTCATTTGACCGTTTGGCATTCCAACTCCTCCTGCTCAGCTGCGCCTCGGTGTGGATAGGGCCGGCCCAGCTGGTGACGCGTTCAGCGTTCAGCAAATGGAGCACCCTCCATACACCAGGGTTCCTGTACGTGCAGCACCTGTGCGTCATCAGCAGCGGCTGCAAGGCTGCAACGCTCGGTTGCCTGTTGGTGGAGCAGGGTGCAAAGCGTGCTTGGGCACGCTGTCAATAACAGCTGCAGGCAACGTGCGTGATAAATAAACGAGGAACTTTAGGATCTTAATGAACACCTTCAACGATTGAAGCTCAGCAGCCGCGGCAGATAGAGAGCGGCCACGCGTTGGAACCCCCCGTGCAGCAAGCCGGGCACCCACGGGCTAGGGTCCCTTGCAGCGATTATATGATTTAAACAGCGTTGAATGGCCGCGCATTACGTGCCACTCGCTACTTCAGCCGACAGCTTTTGAAGCGGCGGACGGCAGCTGCTTGCGGGTTGAAACAAGCTGCTATCGCAGTGCACGTCCCCCGTCCTTGCGGCGCCAACAGCAGCATGCCTTCCCATAGGCACCGGCCTCCCGGCGTGCCCGCCACCACATCGCAGCGCGCCGCGCGCCCCGCTGCGCTCGGCGCGGCAGCGGCGGCGCTGCTGCTGCTGCTGCTCGCGCCGCCGCCGCCGCGCGCCGCAGCGCAGGGGCCAGAGTCCACCGGCTCCATCCAGGCCGCCTTTGCTGCGGCGGCCGGACCCGGCTCACGCCACCTCAAACGGGCAAAGGCGGTACTCAATCGCCGGCCGGACCCTGCCGGGGGCGATGACCCGGTGACAGCGAGCGCGACCGGCCAGATGTGGCCGCTGCAGGACACGATTATGAACGGCCTGAGCGCAGACGTGGTCAACATGACTTGCCCCACACTGGCGTGAGTGGGCGGGGCCTGCAATTCGGGCGAGAAAAGGGGCTGTTACGAGCGGCTCGACCGCCCGCCTCGCGGCCGCGGTTGCGACCTGGGCCCCAGCGCACGGGCTCGCCCGCCCAACTGTTAGTGAGATCTGGAGCAGGAAAGCGGTCAGGCTGAAAAAGCACACGAGGCAACCATCTGGGCCGCACCCCGTACAACAGCCCCGCTTGCATCCAGATTGCCTCCGCGATTGCGCCGTCCTGCGGCGCATCGGCCACCAAATTCCCCCGCTGCCCGCGGCGCTCCAGCGGCCGCCCGCATGCTGCGCTGCCGCCGCCCGCCACGCAGGGAGCTCAACGCGCGCACGCAGGATCTGTTTGGCGCCACCGTCTACTCAGGCAACATCGCCGCCTGCATCATGATCTCGTCCGTGGAAAACAGCGTCATTTCAAACACGAACGACAGCTGCAAGCACCCGGAGCTCACCGGCTACGGCATGCAGCGCCCGCTGCAGTTTGTCAGCAAGTCAGGTGCGCGGCCTCATTGAATCGACCCTAGATCCGGTGCGTCGCGCTGTAGGGGAGCCGGCCCGTCGGGGCTGGCGCCGTCGGCCCGCCGTGCGGCGCAGCTGCAACTGTGCGCGCGCTGAAGGCAATGGCATGCGTGCGCCCGCTGCCCCTCGCAACCCTGCGGTCCCTGCAGGCGTGCAGGCGCCCAACCCGCTGCAGCTGCGGACGCCCGTGCCCGACAAGTTCAGTCCAGACGAGGTGAAGGCGCTCATGCCTCTGGAGGCCGCCACGTACGCCTGGCTGTTCCAAGGGATACGAAACCTGTGAGCACGCCCGCCAATCACACACACCCTCCGGCCCCCGGCCCCTGAACGACCCGCGCCCCAGGATGGGTGGGGCGTGAGTTCGCCGCCCAGTCCTGCGAGGGCAGGCCTCGGCTCGGCTGCCCCTGCTAGCAGCAGCTGTTGGCGCGGCTGAGGACGCGCTCCCTCGTAGGCCACCGTTTGCGCCCGCCGCGTGCCCTGTCGACGCTCTGATGGGCCAACAGAGCGGCCGCCGGCCAGACCATCTCCATCATGACGGCGCCGGCGCCGCGTATCAATCGCCCACCTAAACCCTGCCCCGGCCGCAGCGTGGAGTGGTGGCCGTGCTCGAAGGAGTTCAACGGCAGCCTGTCAGGCTACCTGTCCCCGGCCTCTGCCAGCGGCAGCCCCATGACGGCCGCAATGGCCACGCCCTCGCCGCCCGAGGCTGAACCCTTGGTCAAGCAGCTCCCCAGCAACCCAGGTGGAGTTTCGCAGCCTGCGCGGCCGGGCGCTGCGAGGGGCCGGGCGTGGGGAAACACAGTGCGTGCGCGGCCTCGGAACGCAACACGGGGCGGTCTGTGTCATCAGTGGTTGTGGGTCGTGGCCCGCAGATGCTAGCGGCCGTGGGCGCGCAGTCCGTGGGGCCAGGACCCTGGCATCTCCTCTGCTTTTGGATGCGCTTCAACGGCTGCATTTTCGTCTGCATTCGTACCGCTTGGCGCCCCGGGCCAGGCGCAGAACTGGGTTTCCACATCGTGAATCTCCTGCCCTGACCCTGAACCTAACAAACGGTGGTGCACACAAACAATTCATGGTGCCGCGTACGCGTTTGCCGCCCTTTTTGTCCAGGCGTCTACACCCTGCGAGAGCTGAACAAGAACAAGGACAGGGACCACGACAAAGGGAAGCCCAAGCCGCCGAAGAAGGTTTATAACGACTACCCGTTCTTCTCGATGTGAACTTCCCGCCGGGAAGAGCGGGCCGGCGGGCCGCCGTCTGCACCTCGGACGCCGCCGGGTTGAAAACAGCGTCGCTAGTTTGTTTGTCGGCGCGGTGCGCCCACGTTTTATCAGCGTTCGCCGCGCACACCGCTTGTCACCTGGCGCTACCCCGTTGCCCCTTGCTTGCCCCCCGTCTCACACTGGCTGGCTGTGGTGGGACCCCCCTATTATGGCAAACCGCCGCAGGTACCTGGACGCCTCAACGCCAGGCAGCCGAATTTTTGTCATCCTCATCCGCGGCACCAACACGCAGGTTCGAGGGGGGGCAGGGGCGCTTTTCTGCGTGCGGGGGCGCGCGTTAGCGCCTGCTCTGCTGAAACACTGGGGCAGTGCAACTTGCAGCAGCCAGGGGGGTATCAGCCCCGCCAGGGGCCTTCATGACTGGCCAGCCGCTTCATGGCTCATCCCGCCAGCCCAACCCACGCACCCACGGCCACGTTTGCCTGCTGTTGTGCGCGCGCACACACGCATGCATGCACGCACGCACGCGCACAGAGCACGCACACGCACACGCGCATACATCTATACACACTCACATACACGCACACGCACACGCGCATACATCTATACACACTCACACACACGCACACGCACACGCACACGCGCATACATCTATACACACTCACACGCACACCCAAGCCCCCGCCCCCAACCCCACCCCACCCTACCCCGTGGCGCCCCTGCAGTTCGAATGGCACGTTGACTTTGACTACACCCGCGTCCCAAATTCAAAGTTTCCCGCCACCTCCCTAGCCGGCGAGTTCCCCGGAGACAGCTTCGAAGGGTCGACCCATCGCGGGTTCACCCAGGTGCGGGGGCGGGGGCGCAACCTTCGCGCGGTGCTGCCAACACAGTTCCCTTGGCTGATGCTAATCAAATTCCACGGTGCCACGCCAAGTCTGTTGTTTACCATGTGTCCCCTTCGCCCTTATCAAGTGACTTTGGGATCCGTATTTATCAAAGCTGCAGCGAACCAAACAACCCGCAGGTGTTCAACGCCATGTGGCCGACGGTGCAGCAGGCGCTCGCGCAGTACGTCATCCCGCCCACGGGTGACTCCCGCGTCGGCGTCACCCGGGTGATGGTGGCCGGCCAGTCGCTGGGCGGCGGCGTGGCGTCGCTTGTGGCCTATGCGGTGCGCGGGGTACCCAACCGGCGTGGTGGCGGGCTGCAGGCTGCTGGCTGCGTGGTGGCGGGCTGCAGGCTGCAGGCTCAGCGCCGCTGCTCTTAGCAAACCACTGCACGAGCTGTGGGCCATGCACCCAGCCCAATGTATAGAAGCAGTGTGAAGTGTGTTGCGC